CATACTGGCATAGATACACACTAATACACATACAGATATACACATTTACACACTGACACTGGGGTCCAGTGGGATTTTACTGCAAGAGGTGCTTGCTGAGGCGGATGGGAATTGGTGGCTGGCTTTCTGGCTCTTTCCCTCCTTTCACCCTTCTTCTTTCTTTGCCAAGTATTCACCTGTGCAGCACTCTGAAAACTGTGAGGAAGTGACCTGTAGTGCTGGTCTGACAGGGACACAGTTAGACTGTGAAAGGTCCACCGTGCCTGACCACACCCTGATTAGAAACCCATTGGGTAATCATAAGTACGTGGGCAATGTTATGGAAGTCCTCAATTAGGGTTGCTTTGAGGAAGTTTAGCATAATTTGTGCTAAGCTGTCTGTAGCTGGGACTGAAAATTGTGGGGGGTTTTTCTCTCCATCCTGAAGGCTGAGGAGAATGGTATAGGCTGCGGGGTTGACTGAGAAACAGTCTTAGTTTTGTTTTCTTAACCAACCTGGTGGTCATGATGAGGTATGCTGATGTGGAATGACATTTCTGCAAAGGACTCGCTGTGAACACCGAGGCATGAAGGAGCCTATCTCACATGCAGGCAGCTGTCTCTGTTGGCTGCCATCCATGTCCCCTGGGCTAGATGCCTTTGCTGACCAATTCTCTACTTACACAATTTGTACCATTTCATTGGTTCAGTAGGTGTTATTACACAGCACAGTAATATGGGCATAATCCTTGCCATAGGCCATAGTGTTCAATGTAAATACTGTTGAGCGCAATTAAACTATGGATAAATATTCACTTCACCTAAATTCTCGAGGCAACAATTCAGAGGGATTTCAGGGAAAACTTTTCAAATACTTTGAGATATATACTTTCATCTTCAGTTCAGCAGAAATAATTTGCTATTTTATGTTCTTGGTAAATCAATTCTTATCATCTAAGAGACAGTTCAAAGGTGTTTATTAGCATTAATGTAGTAAAGTTGCTGTACTTTATGGAGAGTTTTGAAAATACATTCCAGGCAATCCTGTCTTGTACCAATCTTTCCATCACTGTTGGATTAAGGGTTTAGATAGGTATTTGGAGAATGAAGTTTGGATGGACTCCATAATGAGAAAAGAATAGAGATTGATTAGGAGATTGTAAATAGGTATTATCATTATAGAGGAATTCTGCAGTTGGAACATCTTGCAAATAACAGGAAAAACACTGTTAGTTTTGTTCAGGCCTCTTGATTGCTCGTGTGATTTAAATATGAAGGAAAAAAAAAACTGCTTTTTTTCCCCCTACATATTATCATTTTATTTTGGATATAATTGCTTAGCAAAAAATAAACTTTCAAGTGGAAAATGCCAACATGAAATTAAGCTTTGACAACAACAGAGTACACAAAAAAAAGTTCATCGTTGTGTAAAAATAAAAAAAATATAAAAATTGTTTGCAGAATTTGATATGCTGAGACTATACTTTAAGAGCAATCATTAAACCCAAAACAGCGGCGCAGAATATATATTTATCAGGGCTCGAAATGTACACTCTCCACCAGCCAGTGACAAGTAAAAATTCAGAACTAACAAGAAGGAATCCATAGTTGTTGATGTTTACTGTCTGGACCATATTACCTATAGTGGGATGCATCAGACTCCATTAGTAAACTACTCCCAATAATAGGAAAACATACAACTAGACAACCTGGGCAAAGTTGTATCATATAGTATTTTAATTAATTATTGTCAAATGTTTGTTATATTTTTTTCTTTTTTAACACATATTACATTTTTAACGAATAGCTCACTCATAAAGTTTCTTCTTTCCAATTGGAGACCTGCCTATTTCAGGCTTCTGACTTGCAATTTTGACTGATTAATTTACTTGGCCTATGTTACCTTTTGGAGCAAAATATCAACCCCAACTGAAAAATTACCCCATCGTGTCATACATTTGCAAAAGACAACATCTTGAAGACAATATTTGACAGTAGACATTTTGACTCTTTATGCAAAACCATTTCATCACCAAATTCTGTTGAACCTGGGAGCCAAACTGACATTATTTCTGTTCTGTCTCTTTAGTGAGATAGCCAGCAGTAACCCTTACATGCCGATCTCTGAGTGTAAAGTTTACAGAGACTATATTCAACCCCGTAGCATGGTTCGAGGCATTGGAAGGCTGTGACAGCTTGTCACAATTATTCAGAAGCCAGGGCAGACTCTTTAAAGCTAGTTTTGGATGTCTCATGCTTGACACTAGCTCCACTAAGAACCATTGGTGCTCTATGGCAGTGTGTACATTCATGACATGTTACTGTAATGATCAAATCCCTCAAGAAGACATCTGAGGATTATTGCTATGCTGCCTTACTTGTGCAGAGTTTTTCAATAGCTAAGTCTTCCCACAATCAGCAAAACCCAGTTTCAAAGAGACTTTATAATGACAGACTTACCCTGCAGTCTTCCAACACAAAGTACATTAGTGGTGTGGACAAATAGGACACATGCACAGTAACTATGGTGTTTATATACTTTGATATTATTATTATTATTATTATTATTATTATTATTACTCCCACCTAAAACATTGCATATAGTCAAGATAATAATTTTATAAAAGACCGTTTAAAAAGGATAAGTCCAGCTTTACAAATCATTGATAGGCAATAACTTTCTTTAAAATTGCAAAAATACTCTACTCAACATAGTTTTAGTTCAAAAGAAGCAAAGCCAATGTTACTTAATAGAAGGAGCAATCACAAAACAAAAAAAGAAAATTGGATTTAAAACACATACTCCACATACTGTAGGTCATCAGCTTCATGTGTAAAATATGGAGACGTCAAGGGTACTTTTAAAAAGCCAATTAGATAAACTAAACTAGAGACTAAACCCCAAAAGGATTTTTAAGTGCAATAGAAAACATAAAATAATTTTTGTCCTTTGAACTTTAAGTATGATATATATTGGAGATAAGAAAAGGCAGAAGAAAACTGAATAAAACCAATGTTACTTAATAGAAAGAGCAATTATATAATACAAAATAAGAAAAGGAATTTAAAACATACACTCCATATAGGTTAGCAGCTTCGTGTGTAAAATACAAATATGCCAAAAGTAAATTTAAAAAAGCCAATAAGGTAAACTACAGACTAAGCCCCAAAAGGATTTAAAGTGCTTTAAAAACATACAAATATTTGTCCATTAAAATTTGAGGACTTGTCACCAGTGGGGTACCTCAGGGATCTGTACTTGGACCCATTCTCTTTAATATTTTTATTAGTGATATTGCAGAAGGTCTTGATGGTAAGGTATGTCTTTTTGCTGATGATACTAAGATATGTAACAGGGTTGATGTTCCAGGAGGGATAAACCAAATGACAAATGATTTAGGTAAACTAGAAAAATGGTCAGAATTGTGGCAACTGACATTTAATGTGGATAAGTGCAAGATAATGCATCTTGGACGTAAAAACCCAAGAGCAGAGTACAGAATATTTGATAGAGTCCTAACCTCAACATATGAGGAAAGGGATTTAGGGGTGATTATTTCTGATGACTTAAAGGTAGGCAGACAATGTAATAGAGCAGCAGGAAATGCTAGCAGAATGCTTGGTTGTATAGGGAGAGGTATTAGCAGTAGAAAGAGGGAAGTGCTCATGCCATTGTACAGAACACTGGTGAGACCTCACTTGGAGTATTGTACACAGTACTGGAGACCGTATCTTCAGAAGGATATTGATACCTTAGAGAGGGTTCAGAGAAGGGCTACTAAACTGGTTCATGGATTGCGGGATAAAACTTACCAGGAAAGGTTAAGGATCTTAACATGTATAGCTTGGAGGAAAGACGAGACAGGGGGGATATGATAGAAACATTTAAATACATAAAGGGAATCAACACAGTAAAGGAGGAGACTATATTTAAAAGAAGAAAAACTACACAACAAGAGGACATCGTCTTATATTAGAGGGGCAAAGGTTTAAAAATAATATCAGGAAGTATTACTTTACTGAGAGGGTAGTGGATGCATGGAATAGCCTTCCAGCTGAAGTGGTAGAGGTTAACACAGTAAAAGAGTTTAAGCATGCATGGGATAGGCATAAGGCTATCCTAACTATAAGATAAGGCTAGGGACTAATGAAAGTTTTTAGAAAATTGGGCAGACTAGATGGACCGAATGGTTCTTATCTGCCGTCACATTCTATGTTTCTATGTTTCTATGTTTCTATATTGGAGATAAGGAAAGGCAGACGTTTTAAATAGTTTTAATGTTCTTCAGTAATCAGCAGGGGAGAACTGAAACAATAACAAACAATATAAAGTTACTTCACTTCAGCTCATTGAAATGGTCTGGATGCATATTCCTAGGTCGCTTAATAATGAAAAGGTAATTATTGCAGTTTTTAATTGACTGCAATAATTACCTTTTATGGGTTAACTCCACCTCTAGTGGTTGTCTACCTGACAGCCACTAGAGGGACTTCCAGGTCATTAGATGACATTTGGTCACCTGACGTTGGCTGTCCTCATGCTATGCTTGAAGACATGCATCATCACCCAAATCCCCATAAGAAAGCATTGCATAGACAGGTGGTGGATTTGGTTTGGCACATGGACAGATCTCTGCTCCTATATCTGGACACGGATAAGGTGTTCAACAGGGTAGAATGGCCATGCTTATTTATGCTTCGGAGGCACTGGGGCTTTCTGGCCACGTTTGTGAGTGCCGTAGGGGCCCTCTTTAGAGACCTGCGATCATGAGTAGTTCTCCGAGGTGAAAATGGCAACACCTTTCCCATAAGTAATGGAGCCAGGCAGGGGTGTCCCCTGTCTCCCCCTTCTGTTCGCCATCACGTTGGAACCATTTTTGCAGTGGATAAGAGAGGCCCCAGACATATAAGGGGATTGAGGGTCAGTGTAGAAGAATACAAGGTGGCAGCTTATGCTCACAATGTCATACTTACAATTTCAGACCCGCTGGTGTCCTTTCTCCTTTGCTTGATCTGATCAGGGAATACAGTCAAATATCTGGCTATAAGGTCAACTTGACCAAGTCTAGTGCCATACGGATGCACCTGTCGGCCACCGACGAGGAAATGGTCAGCTCCACAATGCAACTACGCCTCCCAGACTCTATCAAGTACCTAGGCATCTGGGTCACCAAGGTTAAGGGGGCCCTACACAAAGCCAACTATCATTCTTTGATCCAAGCCATTAAGAGGGACCTAGAGGTCAGGAGGTCCAGGCCAACTTCATGGATAGGGTGCATTCATAGCATAAAAATGAATGTTCTCCCCCGGCTCCTCTTCCTTTTCCAGGCCCTTCCCATACCACTATCCAAATCAGAGCTAGATACAACAAAGAAACACATAGACACCTTCATTTGGGACGGTAAACAGCATAGGTTAGCAAGGAATATGTTATACAGACCAAAGACGAGAGAGGGACTGGGTTTGCCAAATGTCCTCCTGTATTATTATGCGGCTCAGTTAGTTCAGATGGTGATGTGGCACACAGCTCCAGGGGAAAGACGATGGGTGGACATAGAATCGCAGCTTATGGGTTCGGATCTCCAAAAGTTTTATATGTGGCTCGTTAAGCCTCAACGAGCGCTACTTAGAATTGAATGCTCGGGTATGGTCACCTCCCTGACTATATGGGACAAGATTCGATATAAATCCGACCCTTCTCCGCTGACTCCTTTATTATGGAAGAGACTTTCCACCAGGAATGACTCCCAGGGGCTTTGGGAACTTAGAGGACACAAGACTGCAAAGGCACTTCCACTTATGGGACGGAAGCAAATTAGTGACATTTGACACCCTGAAGCAGCGAGACCGACTGAACAACCATGACTACTTCGATACCTACAAATTAGAGACTATGCCCAACGGGAGGAGGTCACGGGGATAATGGGAACTAGGCCCACTCTCTTTGAGACACTCTGCCACCAGGAAAAATACAGAAAGGGGCTAATTACAGATATTTATACAGAGATCTGCTAAAACGCAGATATGCGGGGCCCCTTCTGATCTATAGAACAGTGGGAGAGGGACTTAGGAGGGGAGATTGACAGATACAAGTGGCAGGATATGTGGGAAACCACATCCAAGGCCTCAGTGTGTGTGACCTCACAAGAACAGATGTACAAGATCCTCTTTCGGTGGCACACCACCCCTGCATAGCTGCTCAACGTGGGTGCATGCCCCTCAGGGACGTAACCCCATATGTGGTGGTTCTGCCTCACCCTGGCACAGTTCTGGGGTGACACAGGGACCCTCCTATGAGAAGTCTTTGGCAGGCCGTTCGAGCTAGATCCCTGGTTGTTCTTGCTTTTCAAACCCTTAGAGGGCCTGACCTGTCGCGAACAGAAACTATGCAATAAAATTGTTAGCGGCAAGACGAGTTCTGGCAGCTCACTGGCTGCAACCCTTTACACCTTCCATGGGTGAGGTGAGGGCCAATATTGAAGAAAACCCCTTAATGGACCAACTCACAGTGACCTTACAGACCTCCCTTTCTTCGTTCCACAAGGTATGAGAACCCTGGCATGCCTACAAGATAGTTTGACCCTCCCATTGCAGTGGTATCCTGGCTACTCTGAGAATCTGTCGGGGCCCCAATGCCCACTGAGATATACACAACCTACGGAGAATCACATAGTGGGCAATATTATTTCATGGAGCTCTGGGGGGCAGCGGATTGGGGGATCGGGGGTGGTAGTTGGGAGAGGGGAGGTCCTTTAGCCCTTAGCCCAGTAAACAGAATCCCAAACCCCGCCCCCAGCAAGACACTTTCTAGGAGCAGGAGAGCACCCACGCATTAGACATGAGTACTTTGACCTTGTACTAAACAATCCCAAATAACACAAAAGTCCCAAATGATGGCCTTTTCTCCCTCCCCCCCATCTCTACCCATCTCTTTTTCTTTCTTCCTCCAGGTTTGATTTAGTTAATCCAAAGTATGTAACACAGTAATAGACCACGTGGATAGCCCTACCTGTAAACACTCGCCAGAAGTCATAGGATATTATATGTTTGGTTTGTTTCTACTCATTATCCTTGAAGTTAATGTTAATGTTAACTTATTTTTCTATACTATAACAAAAAATCTTGCCGTCGGATTGCACGCTGTTTATGCTGACAAGTCGGAGAAACCTGTACAAAAACTGTGGTCCTATTTGATCTCTTAAACTGCAGTATTGTTTGTTAGACGTATATTGTGACCATGCTGTCAACACAATCTAATGTGCACCGTGATTACTGTCTGCCAGCAAACCAAAAAAAAGAATTAAAAAAAAAGAAAGCATTGTATAATGCTTTTCAATGGGGCTGTTCTAATGCAAGCGCATCAGCTGGTGGGGAGGAGCTAAGGCGGACCCCGAGCCAGTGCTGAGGGACATCAATGCTGGAACAAGGTAAGTAACAGAAGGTGTTTTTTAACCCCTTCTGCGTCACATGGTGTGAGGGGGGCACTTTGTTTTCCTGGCACTATAGTTTCCCTTTAAGGTAAATAAAGCCCACCAGGCATAGTATAGGATTAGCCAAACCAATACTTTCAGTCCTCCAGCATTTGCCTATTAGGAATTATAACAAAGGACTGGCATAAAGAGATTCTGGTGCCCACATTAAAAAAGGAGTAAAAATGCAGGCAATACATTACACGTCTTAGAGTTTAAAACCTGTGCACCTGTGAGAATGGCTTGGAAATAATTCGAAGCTATCAAACTATGTTCAGGATTTAGTAGAAATCAACATGGTTTTATGAATAGCAGATTGTGTTAAACTAAATTAAAGTATAAGTCATAGTGTGGCACTGGATAAGATCTAATTGGATTTTGCAAAATCTTTTCCAATGGTTTGCTGTACAAATTGAGGGATATTGGTGTAGATTGAAATTCTTGTTCTTAGAATGAAAATGTGTTTAAAATGTGGTGTAGATAGTAGTGGTTGATGGGAAATTTTAACCTTGGATTAACTCAGGTTTTTGTCCTTAGTCCACCTCTGTTTTATTCCTTCATTAATGATCTTGAACATCAAATGTCATGTTTTAGCATTTCCTAGAGATGGTGATTCATTTTGGACCAAACTAGAATTTGGCCTAATTTAAACCAATTGGTGTTCCACTGAACTTTTGAATTCCAAAATGCAATGTACCCGGGTGCCAGACTAACCATACAGCACAATGCTGAGCATGTTCACGGGAGTCAATAATCTGAATTCTGCCTATGGCATCAACAAAAGAGATGATTGGAAAATAGATTTATGGCCAGGGAACAGTCATCAAATGTTGATTTACTTCACAGCTCAAGTAAGAAGTGAGTAATTGAGTGTAAAACAGGAGGAGCGATAAGAAAAATTATATTTATACATTTGTAATTCAATATACAAAATGTATAAATATAGATTTATTTATCTTTTACAGTTCCTCGTCTTTTCCCTGTATTGGTTACTTTTTATCACTGGATCTGTCAACCAAATGGGGTAAAAAGGCTCCAATCCAAACTATATATATATATATAGACCCCTGGATGTTGGGCTAAGCTAACAGCCCCAGGACTTATTTGAAAATCAGAGTAATCTGACTGTACCTTTTCTGGTTAAATACTTTGTTATTATTATTATTATTATTATTATTATTATTGTATTTATTTATATATTGTGTTTATTTTGCAACATACTGATTGACCGATGTTTGTGCCTTTTTGGTTAGTTATCTTAATTTGGTTTCCAAATTGGAATCTGACAGAACAGAACTAACATTCAGTCTAGCTTTCAGTGTTTAAAAAAGTTTTTATTTTCCAAAAAGAATGGCTTCGTCCTATATGAAATTTCTCACCGGCTAGTATTTATGAATGTTTTAAAACTTAATTTGACCTATTTGGAATCTGTTTTAAATTGATGTTACCTAGGAAACTGAACATATTAGGGGTCTGAACAGGTAAGTACATGCATTTGAAAGTTAATTTTTTTTTATAAATGTTGGGACAAGGAATAAAAATGCAACATGAAAGAGGTTTAATAAGATATATTAAATGAGCATAGTTTGTGAATAATTATAGACAACAGAGAACACAAAAACATAAAATGTCAGACAGCGGTGGCAAAAGGCAGTAAGACACTGTTGCGTATTCATTTATGCGATGAAAATATAATTTTGACTCCTGGATATGTTTGCCTTTACAGGCACTCATTTTAAAGATGAATGAAATGGAAAAAAAATGCTGAGCCTAGAAACATTTTGTTATGAAGAAAGGATGGACAAATTTGATTTGTTTACTTTAAAAAAAATAATCTCAGAGAAGATTTAATACTATTATGTAACTATATACTGGACAATATCAGCAATTCTCTGGTGGCCTGTTCGATAGCAGGAACATACTAATCTCAGGATTTTGTATGTATGTCAAAACTTACAATAAGGAACAGAAGAACTACTATTTAGTAATTTTACTATGAGAAAACTCCAAGGAATATTTTAAGTATATTCTCTTTCTTTTCTTTATTCCCAGAAGGCAAGAGAAACAAGAAGATACTTCAATGCCGCAGGTAAGTAAATATCAGGTGATTAAAGATTGGGAAAAAAAAATTTCAGGCTCAATAATCAATTACAGCAAAATCAAAATAAATTATTAAATCCCTAATCATTTATCTATATCCAAGAGAAAACATGAATGAGGGAAATCCTTTTAAGAATAATCACCTGTCCAGAGAGTAATCCCATAGGAAAAAGTCTTGCTACAAGTCTGGGTCAATGAGGGAGCAGCCTGAATTCAACGTTTTTATACCAGTCCATCTGAGGAACCAGCTAAAAGATGTGTTCTGAAGTCAAAGTCAGTATCCATGGATCCAATTGGTAGGTTAGTTAGGAAGGAAGATAGTTGTTTACAAGGAGGTGGTGTTGGGTCCCAATGTTGAGGTTCCAGAAGAGAACAAGTAGCAATAGTGCACCAAGTCACTGACGGAGTGCGTCTAAATATGCTCACATAAAGGGACACTTTAGGCACCTAGACTACTTCAGCCCATTGAAGTGGTCTGGATGCAATGTACCATGTCCCTTAACCCTAAAGTCGTACTTACTGCAGTTTCTGGGAAACTGCAATAATTACCTCTGAACATTAACTCCTCCTTTAGAGACTGTCTACCAGACAGCCATTAGAAGCACTTCCTGAATCAAAATGGACCTTTGGTCCATTATCTGACATTGGACATGAGGCCCTCCAGTGTCAGAT